ACACTTCTACTCGAAATGGAAGTAATCCCAACAATTATGAAACAAGAGATTCCTCGAAACCCAACTTTCCAGATCCAAAAGCCTGGCCCAGATGGTGCCAGGCCTCGGGATTGTGATACAATTTCAACCAATCGAATCGGAAAATCACTTCCTTCTCGAGTAGAGGCCGAGTCTACCGGCTCTTCTGGCCAGCCTCCAACCCTATTCTGCGTAGGCACGGCCAGGCACCATTAGTATCGGCATCGTCATTATCACCGTGACGATAATCGGTCCAACTAAACCGCTTCAGAGGCGAACTGGAGTAGGCTGGCGCCAAGTTGACAATTGCGGGCCAGCAAGGCCGGTACTGAAGGTGTGTACAGCCGACAAGAGACGATTGCCAACGCCCCACTCCGAGGTCAGCCTGGACACCAGACATGCGGGGCGAGGCGGCGGTTGTGGATTCCAGCGCCGACCGACCCGTATGCGGGTGGATATTGGCATCCGATGGTGAGTTTTCTGCGATTGTAAGTCTGGAAGCTTGGGCCGTAGGCACACGATTGGGGCTCGGTTGCCACGACTACCGCAGATGGGCGAAATAGCCTCCGGCCTGGCTACGTGGCCATGCTGAACCGGTTGCATGCCGAATCTGGCAGAAGATGTCAACTTACAATCGGAATCAGGTTATTTCATTTATTCGGGGCCGAGTTTATTTTATTGGTTGTCGTGATGAGACCACATTGTTCGCAGTTTTTCTGCGATTCTATTAATGCGGATTTCCATTGTCGCATTGTCGACTTGATACATTTCCAGACGTTTCGGTAGTTGGCATAGTCAGCCGGTACTGAAAAAATATAAGTAATATGATAGAATAAATAGAAAAAAATACAACTGCAAAACATTTTAGATGCGAGTTTAAAAAGTACTGTTTCAAGTTAAAAATCGTATTTTTTAGTCTACTCAATGGGTCTTGAGTAGTAATATCCGGTCTGACTTTAATTACATTCAAATCCCTCAGAATGTATATTGGAGGAAAGGGGGATGTTAACCAGACTTGATGGGAACTACCCTCTGAAATTGCTTTCAGGTAACCAGACTTACACTCTTTGGAATTACTTATGCAGAAGTGGGATATTTTAGTACTAATATTCTCTAGATCTAATTATAGCGAAAATATGTAACACTAGCGAACACATGTATTGTTATT